TTTTTTGCCTTAGATTTTTGTTGTTGTTGTTTATTTGCACAGGGACTTATTTGAAGAAGGGTTAAGATGGCTGACTGTTATTAAATGAGTTTTTGGCATTTTACTTTAAAAGTCAGTGAGTTTGGGGAAGAAGATGCTTAAGAAAAATTGACACTTCCTTTTTCGACTCACCAAGAGGAGTGATCCACTTGTGCCTTCCAGGAATTCATTTGTAGGGGCTCTTGGCTTCACCTGGGAAAATCCCTAGCTCTGCAGTGGGCAAATATACAGTGTGAATCTGCCTTTAGGAGACGCTGTTTGTCAGTATTGTCCTACCCAGGGAAAGGGGAGGAGGCAAGGCAAGTGAGTCAGTGATGACATCAGCAAGAAGTTAGAATTAGTTACCAAAGCCAGAGTCTCCAGTTGTTACTTCCCGGTCAGCAACAAATTGAGTTCTCTTCCCACACAAATGGGAGATTCCTTGGAACTTGGAGCACGTGGAGGATTTTAATTTCTTTAAAATTTCTCTGTTCTCAGGAAATTTCCCCAGAACATTTTACCTCCGGAGGATCAGTGGAATTTGATCTGAAGGTAGGTAATTAACACCTTTTCCCTGCTGGGGTCTCACACTCCAGCCTTTTCCCTTGCTTTAATTTACGCTGTAGAAACTTGCGAAAACTGACCACTGTCAGCGATGGGACTGTTTCTGCCTGGATTTATTAGACCTACTGGGGAAAAAGAACGTTTAGAAAGCCCCAGGAAGGTTCTCACACAGCCCTTTCCTGGTAGAAATATGCCAGTTCATAAACAGAGACAAATCTGGCAGACCTGCCAGAGCCAGAGAGCAGAATCTTCAGGAAACTGCAAGATAAATGTGTGATGTTAGAATAAGAAGATGTCCCCAGAAACCAGTCATATTATTTCTAGTATCACAGAGCTATCAGAAGGGAAGAATCCATGGGTGATTACATTAAAAATGACAAATTGTTTGGTTTTCTTTTTCTAACAATAAAAGAAATATATGTTCATTGCATAAAATTTGAGAAACTTAGACAGGAATCCAGAAGAAAATTTACATTATCTGTAATTATACCACCTGGATATAACCACTCTTTGATCTTGATGTTTTGTTTTGGGTTTTTTTTTTTTTCTGCTGTGTTCACCTTCCTTTTAGAAAGTAGTTTCTTGTTTCTAAGTAGCCAGGTTTTGC